TATCATTACTTTTACCCTTGCAACTAGCACAGACACAAACCAGACATGGGATCACACAGTCAATCATCTGATCCCCTGGGCCTCCGCTCTGGGTGTAACAGCACCTCCCTCACAGCCCTGTCATGACCGTTAAATTAACCAACTCACGAAGGGCATGTTTTCTGCCATATCGGGAATATTACAGTAGTGTTAAATAAGGCCTTGTGTGTACGAGTTCCTTTGAAAAAGAAAACATTAAACATTGGGAGAAATGTCTTGTTTGAGCTTTAAGAGCAAGTACCTTCTAACTGACCACTGAATATACATTCCATTTTCTTAACTGTCATTAAGATTTAATTATGCCGCAAAAAAAAAAAAAAAAAAAAAAAAATCGCAAAGTTCCCAACAATCACCCATTTGTTTTAAACACCTTAGGAACTCCCCTAGTAACCAAAGGACTTTGATGCCGATTTTTAGTAAAGACAATGAGTCATCATGGGCTTTTAACTCTCAAAATTAGAAAGAAATTATACCCAATTCCTATAAAACATATCCAGTTGAGTCCATTCATCATTAAAGCTTCTGATGGTTTCCCATTCTTTGTTGGTAAACTTTCTTTTCATAATATGAAAGAATTCTGGAATTGAACCACGACCTGTCAAGTGAAGAAACACACAATTAAAAACAGACAGTGACAAGCAGGGGTTAGCCCAGGAACACAAGGGTAGTTATAGAAATAGTGAAATTCTGTGATTAAGTAACAATGGGAAAAAAACAACACACAGTTGTATTGATAGATGCCTTCCGAAAATCTGATACAATTTACCAGCCAAATGTGGTATAAATTCTAAATAACATGGAGGAAAAGAACTAGATGTGGTAGAGTATCAGAAATCTACAACAAACATCTTAAAAAAGAGCTATATTCCTCTGGGGTTTACATTTTTTACTTTGTTATAGAACAGGAACAAAAGAGCAATTCCTTTACTGTAAGTTTTTGAGAACTGCTAGAAAGCTGAGGGTTTATTTTTTTAATTTTTTTTCATGTTTCTTTATTTTTGAGAGAGAGAGATACAGAGACAGAGCAGGAGAGGTGGAGGGGCAGAAAGAGGAGACACAGAATCCGAAGCAGACTCCAGGCTCTGAGCGGTCAGCGCAGAGCCTGACTTGGGGCTCGAACTTATGGAGTGAGAGATCATGACCTGAGGTGAAGTCAGACCCTTAACTGACTGAGCCACCCAGGTGCCCCGAGGGTTTTTTTTTTTTTTAAGTTTTATTTTTGGAGAAAGAAAGCCCAAGAGGAGATGGGCAGAGAGGTAGAGAGAGGGAAAGAGAATCCCAACCAAAGCAGGCTCTGTGCTGTCAGCACAGAGCCCGACGCGGGGCTGGATCTCACAACTGTCAGATCATGTTCTGAGCTGAAATCAAGAGTTGGATGTTCAACAGACTGAGCCATCCAGGCACTCCTGTTCTTCTGTTTTTTTCTAAGTTACCACTTTGGAAAACTACTTTACACTTCTTTCCTTCACAGGAATGATTTCTGAACATGTTTTCTTATTTGACTTTTCCAAATGAAAACAGATGCTAATTTCTGCCTTTTCAGGGATGCTACTGTGAAGTAAGCTTTTTTTCAAAAAAATTGAGATACACCCCTAGAGCCTCTGTTCCACAGACAATAAAATATCACAGAGAATTCTGAACATAAATAACAAATAATTCAAGGAATCTGATTCTCAGAATTGAGAGCTGAGACACAAATTAAAAATACAAGATACGTCTCTCATATTTTTCCAAAACAGAACTATGTGCTTATCTATCGTTACCACTAGACAGGATGTTTCTGTATTTGTTTATTGATTCTGCAAATATGTCAACTGTAAATACTACACAAATGTGTACAGAACTAATGGTCACACATGGGTCAGTCATGGTGGCTGGCCTCCCACACAGCCAACCTGGAGAGCCCATCAGAGCCTGGCCCTGGACAGAAGGCCCACAAACGTTCACCACGTGGATAAACGAAATGAACCGTCATTTGGTCCATTACTGCCCCATGCCTTGCTGTCCCGTGTCCTTAGTTCACGACTACAGTTCCTCGCGGAGCACGGCTTCCTCTTCGTGGCCGTCCCTTTGCAGACTGTGTTAACTCCGACTCACAGCTCTAGAACACTCAGCTCTAAAATCCGACATTCCCACTGGCTACAAGTCCTCCAGTGACAGCCACCAGCACACGCTCTGTGGGTGTTAGAGGCCTGTCTGGAGACCAGAAGTTGAATCCCCGTGCTTCACGCGTTATTGGCATTTCACCGCTAACCTCACTCTAGAAACTCCCCAGTACTGCACACCGGAATGCTATGGACTGCGTCTCCACAGGGAGCTTACAGCCGGTCCTACAGCAACCAAGTATAGTTCCCATAGTGATCTCAAGGGTAGAAAGTATCAAAAATCAATTCCTCCACAGAACTGTTCACGATCCCCCACCATTCCCATTTCAGCAGACTTAAGAGTGTCCTCCTTAGCCAGGAGATACTTCCGATGATCCTGTGGGGAGTGATATGTGGTCCTTTACAGATCAAGAGAGAGACTATCATTTACTTTCAAGTTCAACAGACTCATTTAATCCAACTATCTTCTCCTTGGCACTCTGTTCTCAAGAAAAATACATTTCAATAGTTTACGAGTTCAATTAGTGTTTACTGTTTGTGTTGTTCACATTGCTAAAATACTGTTACTTCCTAAAAGCAGCCCAGCAGACCTATCAAGTCATTTCATGTAACAGCACTGAAATATTAGCTGATCTTGGAGTCCCAGGGGAGGGGGATCCCTCTGATGGTCCCGTGCTTCACTCTCCCAACACCTCCCTCAAGGCTCCTACTAAACACAGTCTCCTTAGAAAGCAAGCAGCACTAGCACATGGCGTGGCTTGAGAAATGACACTCGAAAGTGACAATAAATCTGGAGAATTTAAACACGGGGAGCACTATATCTAGGTAAATCATCAACTGCTTCCTCTTGAACACGTTCTGGCACAGTGCAAACACTAACAGTGGGGAAAACAGCTACCTTGGATTTGGAGACTACACTGTATATTTTGAGAACTGTAGCTTTAATGGAACACTGCCCCAAATGCCACAGTTGAAAATATATGCCTATTGTCATCTACAATGTCATTGTGTTTGCTGGTTTCTTCATAACCTTCAAAAAACCCTCTAATTTTTTAACTAAATAAGATGGGGTAATCAAGACAAAAAAGATTAAATATGCATGCTAATAAAAAATGAACTGATAAAGCCCTCTGATTTTTTAACTAATATGGGGCAATCAAGAGAAAAAATATGCATGCTAATAAAAAACAAAATGATGAACATAAAAAGCAATCTAGCACAATCACTGAAAGCAATCACAAACTGATTATGTACAGCTAAAAAAGTACCAATATGAGGGCGTTTTCATATACTTTTGAGAGCATCTTATCCATTCCACAAAATAAGAGCTGTGACAGCAAGAAGAAAAGAGGATTTTCTAATTATTTGGCCAAAGCACAAGAGCGCCACAGTGTGGCACTATGGTGGAAATACACAGTGGGTGAGTCCTCTGCTAGGTAGTTTAGCTAGGAAATTGGAATTCGCGGCGGGGGGAGAAAAATCAGTAGGAAATACCAGAACAGTACATTTGTCCCTCAAACGATCTGAAGGCAGCATAATTATCAAACATATAATCTGGCAAACCACCTAATAATACCATCACGTATTCATGTTTCCTGTGAGTCAGATTTAATCATCCCACCACATGCTGAAGGGGACAGGTAAGGAAGATGAAGTGACTGAAAAACAAAACCACTAACCACATTTACGGAAACCAGATTACCCCTCTTGTTGCTTAGCCTTTAGGAAAAGCAGTGTTAGCTACTAAGCTTCATAATGATCAACTAATCGAGACCAAAGACCAACTGGTAGGTTGACTAAACATTCAGTAATAACCCACAACAAAAGAGTTCACACAAACACCTCAAGCTGCTATTGCAAACCTACAAAAAGAAATCCCACTAGTACCAGAACCTCAAAGCCCACCTACGTCAATCTGTCCCCCAATGTCACCAATGTGTTCACCATCCTTAAAAGGGATCTGTTACTTTAGGGAGGGGTTGAGCCCTGTCCATCTGTGTGCTTCGAAATAGTGAAATTTAGCTTTTGATCAAAAGTCCAATTAGAAATTCTAGTAGTGCCATTTTTTGGATTACATATATTCTTGCTTCCACAGGAGCGGGGAAGGGACAGACTTCTATTCTAGACTTTGAGCCAGTATGTGCACAGTGATGATGGACTTGTGTGGGAATTTACCGAGGCACAAACCCAGAATAAAGCAACAATGTATGAGGCCCTCAGGTGCGTTTCACAAATCCTGACAAAGGAGCTCTGTTAGAGCAGGAGAGCACAGACTGAGATGCGGGCACCTGGGCTGGACACCCCCCCTCAGGCAGTCCTGAACCCCAGCAGCTCGTGGTGCCTATGTAAATGCCTTCATCAACATATGTGGCAAGAAACAGGCCTGGAGAACAAGAACGGAACTCAGGGGCTGCAAAGGTGTAATCTTTCAGGAAGAGGGCAGGACCCCCTGAAGGCAGGTAGAGGGGCCAGAGGGTGGGGGAGGCCCCAGGACCAGGAAACAGAGCAGGAGACACGGACTATTCTCAGGCCTCGAAACCATACAAAGTTTGCCCTGTTGGCTTTTCAACCTGCTTGGGGCCCAAGGCCTCCCTTTCCCACTTTACCCTCCTGAAATGGGAAAGGCTACCCTGTGCCTATTCCCCCAAGGTGTTACAGAAGCAGATGGTTTCTTTTCTAGCTTAACAGGTTCACAGGAGAGTGAGGAATTCTGTGCCGCCATGGAACATACCCAGCCTCACCTGTACCTGAGTTAGATCATCCACATGATGAGACATTGAAGCTTTGGAGCTGATGATATTCAGAAGAGATGCTGGAGTCAGAGTGAATGCTGGAACAAGCTAAGGCTCGGAGAGGCTGGGACGGGATGAGTTTATTTTGTACGTGGGAAAGAGATACATTTATGGGGGAAGGTGGAGGATGGACTGTACTGGGTCGAACAGCATCTCCCAAAATTCATGGCCACGCAGAACCTCAGGTGGAGTCTGCAGATGGAATCACATTAGGATGAGGTCACAGTGGATTAGGACAGGCCCTGTATCCAGTGACGGAGAAACACTCAGGCACAGAGAGAATCTAGGAAGATGCAGGTGGTACCGAGGTGGCCAAGCTAGAAGCCAAGGGCGGCCAAGGGCGGCCAAGGGGGGCCAGGAAACCAGGAAGAGGCAACGAGGGGTTCTCCCTAGAGCGTCAGAGGAGCGCGGCCCTGTCGACTCTGACTGGTGGCCTTGAGGACATCACAACCCTCTGGGGTCTAACACAGGAGTGCGTAGTGGCCGCTCTGGAGCCCCGGGAAACCAGGGCACAGGCACACGACGCACGTCACGTGTGCAGACGCACCCACACTCCAGACAGCTTCAGCGCCCGCGAGTCAGACGCTCACGTCCGGGCACCATCGCCTCTGTGCCGACAGTCCTTTCAACCTCGGTAGTTCCAAAGCTTCCAGCAAGGCAGAGCGGGGGAGATTACGGAACACACGTGTAAAGGGCCCCAATTACTCAGTTCCTCACAAATGGGGGCGCTGGTGTCGTGCACACTGTTACTGCTCTTCTGCGAGGCACGGCACTGCATCCCCTGTGCATCCACCACGTCTACGCGGTTTTCCTGTCGCTACTTCAGCAGTTCGTACGTTAACAGGGTTAACCTCTGTCCGTCGTATGTGCCACAAATGTATTTCCTGGTTTCTGAGAGAAGATTTAATATGAAACCGATCACGTCTGCGGACTTGGTTTCCTCTGACCTTTCTAGCTTCACAGGCATCCTGCTTCCACAAGTCTGAGAGAGTACACAATTCCACTGTGTTCTAGCAATAGTCATGAAAACCTAACTCTAACTTTGTTCTCTAGTGTAACACAAGGGTCTAAGGGCTTTCTCATGACTTCCATCGTTAAAAAAAGGGACGGGTTACGGACTTCCTCACTGCTGGATCTGTAAACTATACCAAGTACAGGGATCCCCAAACATTAATATGACTGACATTCACCTGAGAAACCAGCTGTGCTCTCAGAGATTCTGGTCCAGTAGGTCTGGGGGCGTTTCAAGGAATCTGCATTTTGAGGAGCAGCCTGGCTGATTTTAGTATCCTGACCACCATTTTAAAACCATCACTGTACAGACATCTAAGTGGCTCAGTCAGTTAAGCGTCCGACTTCAGCTCAGGCTACGATCTCTCGGTCCACGAGCTCGAGGCCCACATTAGGTCTGTGCTGATAGCTCAGAGCCTGGAGTCTTCTTCACATTCTGTGCCTCCCTCTCTCTCTCAAAAATAAATAGTAAATAAAACATTAAAAAAAAAAAAACCCACTACTCTATGCATATAACCACCACCACCTCAGAGCTAACCTTTGTTAAGTATGCAATCATTCCAGGCACTGTCCATGTCTATGCCTTCAACTATCCAGCTTTGGTGGTAGAACTGTTTAGCCATTAGGATATAAATCATCACATACACACAAGTTGTAGAAGAATTAAAGATTTAAACGTAAAAATAAAATTGTAATTTTATTTTTTAGGTTTATTTAGAGACAGATAGCATGAGTGGTAGAGGGGCAGAAAGAGAGAGAGAGAAAGAAAGAACAAACCAAGCAGGCTCCATGCTGTCAGCACAGAGCCTGACCTGGGGCTCAAACCCACAAACCCTGAGATCATGACCTCAGCCAAAACCAAGAGTCTGACACCCAACTGACTTAGCCACCCAGATGCCCCTAAAACTGCAATTTTAGAAAATCTAGTGGACTCCACCCTATGGGCAGAGAATATCTTATATCAATTTAATTATTTTTTCCAAATAAGACAGAATTCAGAATTTGTCAATCAAAAGATAGATGTATTTAATTAAAAAAATATAATTCATATGGCCAAAAATATAACTAAATTTAAAAGGTAAATAATAATACAATGGGCAAAATACAACAAATTTGGTCAATAAACTATTAGTATCCACAATATATAAAGAAGTTTTATACAATGATTAGAAAGTACTGATAAGCAGTTTATACAAATCACAAATTAGAGTAGTCGATAAGCTATTGCTCTAGTGACGAGAATAATGCACCATTTAATCAATAATCTTTGCCCATTGAACTATTATTTTGTGTAGACACCGGGCTCTCACTGTTAACTGTCAGTTTTCTATTCTTGTGTTTACAATGCTTAACAAACTCGTAAGAAATGCTAAAGCCAGTCCCCTCTCGCTGTATTTTTCATATGCTTAGACATGAATTCCTCCATGAAAACCTTAAGTTCATTTAACCCCATTCTGCAGAATGCTTCACATACTTTGTACCTGTAAAACCTTAAACAGGAATCAGTACAATCTAGCACAGACAGGCCACATACTACAGACTACGTAGGTGGGCTTTGGACCCGGGGTACAAATCCATGTTCTACTTTTTTTTTTTTTAATGTTTATTTTTGAGAGAGAAACAGAGCGTGAACAGGGGAGGGGCAGAAAGAGCGGGAGACAAAGACTCTGAAGCAGACTCCAGGCTCTGAGCTGTCAGCACAGAACCCTACACAGGGCTTGAACTCACGAACTGCGAGATCATGACCTGGGCCGTAGTTGGATGCTTAACAGACTGAGCCACCCAGGCGCCCCTCCATGATCTACTTTTTAGCTGTCACCTAGGGCCGGAGTCTTACTCTAGTCTCTAAATTAAAAATAGCACTTGGTCCTAGGCATCAAAAGACGAAGATAACACATCCAAGGCTCTAACACACATAGAAGCATCAGCACAGAGGAAGGTGCCCCACAGCCAACCCCACCCTGTAACTGGGAAGGGGATATTCCCTGCTGGGAAGACCTGGTTTTCCAGGGAGGAGGTCGGAGTACAGAAGGAAGTGTGACTTATTTCAGCTACCTGCTTCCATGTGTCCAGGCTGAAATAAGACAAACGTGGTCAGTAAGCACCCCTGCAGAACGCGGGTCCGGGAGAGCGAGAGCCCGGATGTGGGAATGACTGTGAAAGTAACCTCAGAAGCAAGCAGGTGAGACCTGGGTGGGAGCGGAGTGGAGGCAGTGGAGACAAAGGAGGGCGAGGAAGACGACTCAACGGGAGGAAATGCTTGGAACCACAACTCACTGACCAGGACAGTTTCTCTTGTAACGTTTTCCACCATGGATGTGTTCTCACTTTCTCGTTTGTAACAAACACATTTAGCCAAGCCTAGGACTCCTCTCATTTGCACATGTGATAAATATGCACCGAGCACCTGCAAGGTGGCTGCACCCTCGGCTAAGTACGGGGTGCACTGGAGCAAAGCCGCAAGAAGCCACAATCCCCAACCTCATCTAATGAGGAAGGACAGACGACAGTCTAGGAGTTAGGCTGTCAGGACAAATGAGAAGGGCCACACAGAGGAAAAGAAGGCCAGTCGGTGGCCAGAAAAGTCTCTTCGAAGGAGGAACTGACCAGTGCCGTGGCTGAGTTGGTTGAGCATCTGACTTCGGCTCAGGTCATAATCTCACGGTTCAGGGGTTCGAGCCCTGCATCAGGCTCCATGCTGACAACTCAGAGTCTGGAGCCTGCTTCGGATTCTGTGTCTCTCTCTCTCTCTCTCTCTCTCTCTCTCCTCCTCCCCTGTTCGTTCTCAGTCTCCCTCTTTCAAAAAATAAATACACGTTAAAAGAAAAAATTGAAGGAGGAACTGACTACCTCTCACGCTCCAGGTCTCAGGTACTCAGGAAAAGAGAGGACAGGAAGAAAGGTCAGCGTTTCTGCAAGGACGCAGAGCACTTTGCTACTTGAAGCAATGAAAGACAAGGACAGCAGCTAGAAGAGAGAGGTACCAACAAGAAGGACACAGGGTCGTGAGAAGGGGACTGGATTTTATTAAGAACCAACCCAAGAGTTTTGAGAAAACTGCTGTAGGTATTTTTAAAGACCACTGCACTCCACACATAGAACTGTACCGACAGCACAAAAGCGGGAAGCAGTCAGGAAGCTATTACAGCTGCACGGGGAACAGTAAGGTGGAAGGACACAGGAAGACCAGACCACCCTCCTACCTCATAGTCCCACCGTGCACTTTATACTCACTGTGCTCAATTTATGTAGCAGCCGTTCTAGACAGCAGTGCCTTGAGTCATTTCTAAGCTATTAAATTAGTACCAAATCTCAAAACATCGAGTCAGTTTTGTCCTGACAATTACTATCCAGCTAAGTTTATAATAAAAATGGGAACCTGAAAATGTAAAATCATGGGAAAAACTTATTTTGGTCTTTTCCCAAATCTAAATAATAATTTTGATACTGTATATCTTGTCTTGTTTTGTAAATGTGGGAACACGACTAAAAAATTCATAGAACTGTATTTTCTTTTATACTCATTAACCACAAAAGGCTTTGATGTTAGATAAAAATTAGAAAATGAAGGAAAAACCAATTTCCCAATCTGGGGCGGCAAATTATCACGAGGACCCACAGAACACCTGTCCCCAGGAGTTAGAAATGTGCTGCGCTGACTCATTACCCATCCTGGGGTCCCCAGCACCTTATAAGCCCTCCTGTCTGGACATTTAACTAAATAATTATTTCCTGAGGGCCAGCCCTGCACCAGCTCTTTTCTCCAAGAAGCAGAGAACACAGCAGCAGCTGCCACATCCCCCTCCAGCTGTGGGCATCTGGCTAGAAGACCCCCCCGCAAGGCTGCCTGGGTCCAGCAGTTACTCCCTAGTGACCTACCAGCAGCGACGGGAGCCCTGGGAGAGGGAGGGACTTTTAGCCTGCAGAAATGCCTAACAAGTTCCTACATGATGCTTCCCTGCAGACAGGAACAGAAGACAAAATGGAATGGAGTTTTTCCACACACCAAGGATGCCCCAACAGCTGACTCCAACCTGGAAGACAATCTGGTAACAATGTCCGCCACAAAGTCCGGCCTGGGTTGTGCCCTCCATCACTCAGCAACCTTGGGGAACGTGCCTTGCTCGGCTATCACTTATTCTGATAAGCAGAGCAATTCAAATGAGTCCCCATTGCAGTAGAACAGTCTACTTCCCTCTCACTGAGTGATAAACTGTCCATTCACGCTTGAGAACCAGCGCAGTGACCGGAAAACCGCTCTTCCCCAGTTAGGAGATACAGCAAGAGCTTTTTGGCAATGAAGCAAAGAAGAGTTAAGGTCTAGACACTGTGATTAGCCAAATAAGATCGATAAAAAAAGTTGTATGTGTACGGTGGGGAAGGTGTCCTAATAAAATAGGAAACTGAATTTTCAGTTTTTGCTCATTTAACTTTTTAATTATTAAAAGTTTTAATTAGTGGGGCGCCTGGGTGGCTCAGTCGGTTAAATGACTTCAGCTCAGGTCATGATCTCACGGTCTGTGAGTTCGAGCCCGATACCGGGCTCTGTGCTGACAGCTCAGAGCCTGGAGCCTGCTTCCGATTCTGTGTCTCCCTCTCTCTCTGCCCCTCCCCCACTCATGCTCTGTCTCTCTCTGTCTCAAAAAAAAAAAACAAAAACATTTTTAAAAAAATTTTAATTAGTAGTTACTTATTTATCCAGTATTGACCATCAGCCAATATTGTCCCCAGGAAGCCAACTGGTAGTAAGATCTATCTCACAGGCAAAGTTGCAAGGCGGCCGTGAGCCCTAGTGGTCAGCATTCTTGTGTCATTGCGCACACTGCATTCAAAGGACCAGTGGCCTCTCAAATAATTTCTGACTTTTGGAATAAGGACAAAAGGAAGCTATGAAAGCACATGGGCTCGTTCCCATGCTCGCCACACCTCCTTTTTAGCAGTGGCTTTTCCGAATAAGCTCTCTGTAATGCTCCTGCAAACCAGATGCCGTCCTGGGAAAAACACACATGTGCATATTCACACAAAACGTGGTGAACAATTTTAGGACATTAAGAAAAAAAATGCCTCGGGATGCCTGGGTGGCTCGGTGGGTTAAGCGTCGACTCCAGCTCAGGTCATGATCTCGCGGTTCCTGAGTTTGAGACCCACGCTGGGCTCAGAGCCTGCAGGCTGCTTCAGATTCCGTGTCTCCCTCTCTGTCGGCCCCTCCCCACTTGCATTCTCTCTCTCTCAAAAGTAAATAAGCGTTAAAAAGAAAAATTTTTTTTGATGCCTTGATGTGTATCCAGGAATTTTTAGGCCAAGAATCTCCGTTGTCACTAGTGGAGCCTCCTTTGCAAATCGGAGAACAGCGTGGGCGAGGAGAAAAGCAGGTGGTGGCAAAGAGAGGTGAAGGGACACCCGACAGCAACCGTGAGCAAAGAGACTCACAGCCACACTCTGCAGGCCTCCGGCCAAGACACAGAGTCCTTCCTCATGCACCTGGCCGAGAGCGAGCTAACGATGCTATGAGCTGAACTCGGCAGGTGCTAAGAGATATGACAGCAGCCAGCCTCGGACACAGCTCACAGTTCCTGCTCTCACGTGGCTCTGAGGACCAAGAGAAGGACCATCAATCACCCTGACAAATAATTATAAACGGAGATATGTAGTGGAATGAAGGAAATATATTTTAGGAGGGCTCACGACAAAAGAACCGACCTATGACTGTGGCTCACAGAGGTGTCCCTAGTAAGG